TTCCAAATTACTTCTATCTTTTTTTTCAATTGAAATTAAGATCTTTGCCTTTTATCAAAAAATAATATAATTTCAGTCTTAATGTGCCTAGTGTCGGGAATCAAACACCGGTTTTTGACCTTGACAGGCGAACGCCTTAACCACGAGTGTACCCCATCATTCATTGATACTGTTAAAGAATATACAAGGGTACATTTATTATTCATTCAAGATTGAACCCAGTTTTGTCACCATATATCCTTTCAGTTTTTATGTTAGTGACATGATCTGTACACTGATAGTTTCAAAAAGAGGAATATAAATAATGATTGTTTGCGATCTTTCATCCAATTTAGTTTTCCATTTATCTAGTAATTTTCAGTTTCTATTTCCTGAAATTCTGCACGAAGGTACTCTTTAACAGTTTCACCTGTAGTAACAGTAAAGCATACAGATAATACGTTTTGGTACTTTGATAGAATAATAAGTACACATTATATTCCATGATATTGAGATACCAAAAATAATTAACATAATTATATAATGTATAACAAATTAGACAGCAAAAGCAAAAAAGCAAAAAAGAAAAAACGCATGAGCAAACATAAATGCTGGCAGGTTGTAAGATTTCAATAATTATCGAAACTGCTTTAGTTATTAGCTAATTGCAATCACTACAATTTTCTATAGTCTACCCAAGAGATGGAAACAAAATAGGTCTATTATGAAAATTATGAGCTAATTGTAATCACTGCAATTTTCTATAGTCTACCCAAGAGATGGAAACAAAATATGTCTACAGTATATTCCGTCGGGTAACTGAAATTTGAGAAAACGTCCGTATGGGATAATACCTGTATTCCGAATCAAAAGAGGTCATACCAAGTATGTGCATGTTCACACATTTACAAACAGTAATTTTACACCGGGAATCATTAACACATTGTAATCATCTTTTTATGAAAGCATAGATAAGGAAATTTGTTCAGTTATGATCAGTCGGATAACCCATACAAGGAGCACTAAAATTAGGGACCTACCGGTTCATGTCTGTGTGAACACATCTGTCTGTGTTTTATTGTAATTAACAGTGTCTGTATAGCATATATAAGAAGTGTACCTTAAGGTCAGTTTTATAAACTGTTATGTAATTTCCATTACAAAAAGTATAAACGATATTACCTACTGGTCAGAAAGACTTATCAGTACCCCAACACCGACCCACCGCCACCACCCCACCCTAGGTCTACACCCCATGCCACACCCTCGCACACACACACACACCCTAACATACATATCGCTCTGGCCCATAGACCCGATATTTGAACCTTTTAAACAGACACCATGTGTATGTCAAGAAAGACACGCACGTTATTAGTGGTGCTCAGTCATGGGTATCACTTCCCCATGTGTTTCTAATTATCTCAGTACATTATGGCGTGGTCGGACGCGCTAACGAACCCTATGTGACAATTACATTACAGAACCATTGAAATACATGTTAAAGTAGTGCCTAATCATGTAACACTATATTTACCCATTTCCAACCATTTACGCATGTACTAAATATATGACAAATCTAACCCTGGTCACATCGAGATTTTAAGGCTATTGAAATGCATATCTTACAATCACAGCATTTACATATGTTACACATGTTAGGAAACACATGAAAACAATGGCCAGATTTACACACCTGTGAAATACATGTAAAATGCAGAGTTGAATGTTCGTTTATTTTAACACCCCTTTAAACGTGTGTAAATCTGACGGCCAGATGATACGTAGATTTCAAACGTTGTTCATATGGCCGCCGGATGAAACGAGTATTTCCTGACGTTAGTAAATTTGGGTAATACAGTCATTTTGTGTGTGGTGAAAGCTCACCAACGGGACATACTTTTAGACGCTGTAAGGCCATGACTAAACCTCATTTAAAATCATATCTTTGAAATTGCCGCAAAGATACATTTACTGCAGGCCATAAGCAACTACTGAAGCTACTGGCCAGGCAAGAAATCTACCAACTATGAAGAGGCACTAGAGCTGTGTGACGACGATTCAATTCAAGCTCAAACGCGGAGGCCTACCTTTTGGCTTCGCAGTCACCGTGAGTCCTACTTGAGCACAGCGGAGATACCATCGGACAAAAAAAGAACAGTTGGATGCCCTCAACTGAGCACATGCAATCTGTGTCTTGTTGGGGGTTGATATTCCTAGGCCCTGGATCTCGTTACAATCACTGCAGTGAAAAATTGACGCCAGTATCACAAGAGCAAGGATTTTCATCTTTCAACCTTCGACTTTCTTCTTTCTATATGCGTGTGTGTATGATACTTACCGGTTGCCTTGAACAATCAGATAAAGGTTAAAAGACACGTGATATCTCCGGTAAGAAATACGCATTTCCTCTTGGTCATTAAATCCAGTGAAATATAAACATTTGAGATGAAACGAGTTCAGAAATCATTAAACATTCATTGAACTAACTCCTACATTTTCCACTGGGGACTTTCAGTTTGCTTCCAAGCAATAATGATTAATATTCCAACAGTGAAACATCCCTATTTTCGTTGTTAGTTTTACCTAAGAAAATGATGCGAAGAGTTGTTGTCCCAGTTAAAACGAGGAGTTTAACCAAGCAATCGTTACTAAACTGTAGAATCAGTAACTTAACACACAAGATCAATACACAACCAGCAAATGGCATTGAAGCACACAGACTAAGGTTTACCACAAAAACACATGAATTGCAGTTGGTCAAATACCCGTGTCGGGATCACATTCAATGATGGCCTTTTGGTTGTAACTTCATATGTGAGGTGATGTGAGGTAAGAGGCAAGGAGCGCCTCCCCTTATGTACCTACGAAATGGGTAGGACATTCTCCACAAACCGATAGGCTGTAGTACCTTCCAGATCCCTAGTCTAAATCTAGCATGAGTCTAAATATAGGCCAAGTCTAAATAGTCTAGTTACAATCACACTACTGTCCTTCACTGACTATCTGGAATATTGTGGCATATGAAGTATCACTACCGCAAAACAGTGTCTTGATGGAGCACAACGACCTGTACCGTGTGCTTGTGTAATATATACACCTGGACAAGCATTCTCTTCCCACAGAGGTTACTTGTCATTTCTTCCTACGAACCTCTGTTCTAATACGATCATATTTCCCGGTTCTCGTAAAATCTCCTAGCGGCAAAAAATCGCAACACAAATTATCTCCCTTCTTTCTGTCCAATCAGAACACGTATTACATCAATTTGACTAATACAAGCAAATGTTGGGTCACAAACATCCCTCCTCTGCCAGGAACGTGTGTTGATGTGACACACAAGACATTTAATGGCTAGCTTGTTCGTTGTCAACGAGGGCGATGGAGACGCAATTGATCCGCGATTTACATGACTGAGTTCTGTCTATAAGAAACGTATGCGCAATGCGCAAGGAAAGAGGTTCTAGTTTTCCTGAAGCATACGGAAATAACCGAGGCCTTGCAAATGATCACTTTTGAAACAACGTCGCTGATAACTAAATCTGATTGCAACCAATCACGAATCCTGAACACTCGCACCATGAAAGGGCAATATTAGAACAGAGGTTCCCAGGAAGATATGACAAGTAACCCCTGTGGGAAGAGAATGCTGGACAAGGTTAAGCAGCCCTAATCACGTTGACACCCAACATAATTCTCTTCCAGCTTATGTATGACGATACGTATGATACCTGACGGAAAGTGTCTCCCAAACACAACCTGTGGAGCATGTCCAAAACCCACGAATTTTCACAAGTGCAGTTTGTTGTTTGTGCAACATGTCGGTATTAAATGTGCATGGGTTACAATCTACAATAATTTTTCTGCCACTATGGTACAAAGAAGATTATCTGATGGCCAGGTATGGCAAATTATTGGTATGCATAACTCCGGTATGTCCTTCCAACTACTACCCACCACAACTACTACTACTACCCCCCTCACCATGACTACTACTACTACTACTACTACCACCACAACTACTATTACTACCCCCCCACCACCACCACTACTTCTACCCCTACTACTATTACTACTATTACTACCACAACGACCACTACTACTACTTTTACCACCACCACTACTTCTACCCCCTGCCACCACTACTACTATTACTACCACAACCACCACGACTACTACTATTACCCCCCACCACCATCACCACTACTTCTACCCCTGCCACCACTACTACTATTACTACCACAACCACCACGACTACTACTATTACCCCACCACCACCACCACCACTCACTTCTACCCCTGCCACCACTACTACTATTACTACCACAACCACCACGACTACTACTATTCCCCCCACCACCACCACCACCACTACTTCTACCCACTGCCACCACTACTACTATTACTACCACCACCACCACGACTACTATATTGCCCTCCCCCACCACCCACCACCACTACTTCTACCCACTGCCACCACTACTACTATTACTACCACAACCACCACGACTACTACTATTACCCCCACCCCACCCCCACCACCACCACCCACTGCCACCACTACTACCATTCTACCACTGCCACCACTACTACTACACTATTACCCTACCACCACCACCACCACGACTGCCACTACTACTATTATTACCACAACCACCACCACCATTACCCCCACCACCACCACCGATACTACTTCTACCCCCTGCCATTACTACTACTATTACTACCACAACCACCACGACTACTACTATTACCCCACCACCACAGGCCCGAATCAATATAAGCACCAAGATCTTTTATCAAAGCTGACGGTGTGATGTTAGCTGAACCAATCTTCACACTATCGATTGTGATATATTTATCATGAACTTTGCCTAGAGTCTTATGCCCAGAGGGCGGTGGGGTAGCCTAGTGGTTAAAGAGTTCGCTCGTCACGCCGAAGACCCGGGTTCGAATCCCCACATGGTACAATGTGTGAAGCCCATTTCTGGTGTCCCCCGCCGTGATGTTGCTGGAATATTGCTAAAAGCGGCGTAAAACCAAACTCAGTCAGTCAGTCTTATGCCCAGAAGGCGGTGGCTCATGGGCCAATCTGGTGGAAAAGTTAATCTTTTAGTTTTTCTGCTGGAGTATATCATCCGGGTATCCTTGGTGCTACAAGTAGGAAATCCACTTGTTATTTGTATTGTCTTTATGATACTCCTTGGTGGGTGGGGAGCTCGCATGATGAACCATATAAACAATAACCATGGATTACCAAACCCCTAACAAAAAAACTAAACGTCCACTTGACATTGATCCTGATGAAACTGAACACAGATCCACCAAATCAATTCACTACTGGCCACGCTTTATCGTAATCTAGACTCTGGATAAGACGCCACTGAAATTAAACCCTTTTGCGGTATCTAAGGGAATACAGGGAATTGCGGGCGAAGTTAAAAACATCAAACGCTTGCGTTCGGGTGCTCTACTTGTTGAATGTAGTAAAAGACAGCAAGCCTCGAACCTGATGGCGACTGAATCGTTTGTTAACATTCCTGTATCAGTCTCAGCACACAGAACCCTTAACACCAGTAAAGGAATAGTGCGAGATCGTGATCACTTGTTTGCTGACATGACAGAATTCGATATTATGTCAGAGATGAAGGATCAAGGTGTCACTTATGTTAAGCGATTCACAACTCGTAGAAACAATGAAACTCTTCAAACAAACACGTACCTGTTTTCCTTTTCATGTACTACTGCTCCAAAATCAATAAAGGCTGACTACTGTAACATCAGTGTGGATGCTTATATTCCAAATCCTTTAAGATGCTTTAAGTGCCAAAGATACGGCCATGGTGTAAATACATGTAAATTATCTGTTGCGTGTGCTCACTGTGGTGACAAAACTCACACGACGGATGACAGTAACAGCAATTTCAAAAAATGCACCAACTGCCAAGGAAATCACTCATCTTTTTCAAAAGACTGTCCAATTTGGAACCAGCAAATGGAAATCAATAAAATAAAATTTACGCAAGACATTAGTTTTGCGGAAGCCAAAAACTAGTCCAAACATCTGGACTAACAGAAACTTATGCTTCCGTATCTAGACCTCCTTCTGATACAGCCACAGTAACCAAAACATTTGCAAGCTGTCAAACCAATTGGACATGGATTAAAACTGCTTCCCCTCAGATTCTGTCACCTGAAATATCCACTCAAACTGCAGAAGTACTTCCAGAGTCAACCCGTGTTCAGGATGCATCTTTATCTAAGTCAACTCAATCTCAATCCAGATCTGATTCTCAAACAAATGTGAAAGACATCGCAAAACCCAAAGTGAAATCAAGAAGTGAGTCTTCACAAAAATGCCAAAGTGGCAGAGCCTCAAAAGGATCTACAAACAAAATGCAGCTTTTCAATAAATTTGGATCGTTGGAGGACATGGATGTGTCCGAAAACATCCCCAACAGGGCACATAGCGTGTCGCCCTCTAGAAAGGCAAGGGGTAGATCCACAATAAACCTCCCAAAGAAATAGTTTATTCGAACATTATACAGTGGAATTGTAGAGGCCTTCGAACTAATCTATATGACTTACATCTACTGGTACAGGATTTTCAACCGTCAGCGATCTGTTTACAAGAAACGTATTTGAAGCAGACAGATCCTTAAACTTTCGTCAGTTCAACGCATATCACCATTATTCTCCTGCAGGTGATAGGGCCACTGGAGGATCATCCATTCTTGTAAGACATGGCATTATCCACATCCCTGTGACACTCAAAACAAATCTCCAAGCAGTTGCAGTGCGATTTATCTTGAAAGTTAAACTTACTCTGTGTTCAATGTACATTCCGCCATCATCAACGCTTATGCAGGTTGATCTTCAAACACTCTATGATGAACTTCCCAAATCATGTGTACTCATGGGCGATCTGAATGGCCACAACCCACTCTGGAGCAGTGCGACCACAAACACTAAAGGTATTCAAATAATAATTTATGTATATACAATGATGGTACAGATACATATCTACACCCTGGTACAGGAACATGTTCAGCCCTTGATTTGTCAATAACTGACTCCAACTTACTAAATGAATTTGAATGGTCAGTCTATGATGACCTTAGTGGAAGTGACCATTTTTCTACTATCCTGAAACGTGTAACCCCATCCGATGATCCTCCATCCTCAAGATGGAATTTTAAAAAAGGCTAACTGGCCTTTATATGAAACGCTGTGTGCTGACAAACTTAGACCTGGACGTTTTATTGATGTTCCTGATGCTATCACATGTTTTTCTGATGAACTGAATACCATAGCTGATGAGTGTATTCCAAAGTCCTCTGCAATTCCACACATTCGAAAACCATGGTTCAATGATGAGTGCAAACAAGCTCGGAAGGCACGGAAAAAGCAGAACATTATTTCCGTCGCCACCCTATGGTGCATAATTTAAATAAATTTTAAATTTTAAATGCTAAAGCGCGGCGTACCTTTAAACAAAATATACGCCAATCTTGGCAAAATTATGTATCCAAAATAAATTCTCGAACTCCCATGTCCAAAGTATGGAACATGGTACAGAAAATTAAAGGTAAAGGTACTAAATCTAGCGTCCATCATCTCAAACATGGAGATCAAGTGCCTACCGATAAATCAGATATTGCAAATAAACTTGGTGAAACTCTCGCTAAACACTCTTCCTCTTCAAATTATGTGCCTAAATTCCAACAATATCAAAAACAACAAGAAAAGAAAACCATTAACTCCATACTGCTCTTGAACAAGCTCACAATACTGCTACAGGGGCTGATAACATACACTATCAACTCCTGAAGCACTTACCAGAATCCTGTCTGCAAACTCTTTTAAATATTTTTGATGATATGTGGACATCAGGAAAATTTCCTCTTATATGGCGTGACGCTATAGTAGTACCAATACCTAACCCTGGACGTGATTTCACTAACTAGCTGTGTTTGCAAATCATGGAACGCATGATAAATAATCGACTTGTTTGGTACTTTGAAACCAATAACCTAATAACAGATATACAATGTGTGTTCCGTAAAAACAGAAGTACTGTCGATCACTTAGTGCGTTTGGAATCATTTGCTAAAAACGCTCTAATTAATAAACAACATGCTGTGTCTATCTTTTTTTATCTTGAAAAAGCATATGACACTACTTGGAAATATGGCATTTTAAAAAATGTACATGGCTTTGGATTGCGAGGCCGTTTGCCTCAATTTATAGCCAACTTTTTAAATGACAGACAATTTCAAGTCCGCGTGGGTTCTGCCCTGTCTGATCATTACAATCAACATCAGGGTGTTCCACAAGGCAGTATTTTGTCTGTCACACTCTTTAGTATAAAGATAAATAGTTTATCAAAAGTTTAAACGATTCAATTGATGGATCGTTATTTGTGGATGATGTTAATATTTCTTGTCGTGGTAAAAATATGCATACTATTGAACGGCAAATGCAGTTTTGTTTAAACAAAATAGATCAATGGTGTCTTGAAAACGGTTTTAAAGTTTCCCTATCTAAAACTAATTGTATACATTTTTGTAGAAAATATAAACCGCATAAAGACCCTGAACTGTTCCTAAATGGCTCTCCCATCAAAGTTGTTAAAGAAGCCAAGTTCTTGGGACTAATGTTTGACTCACATCTAACTTATCTTCCACATATCAAGTCTGTTAAAACTGAATACCTGAAGGCACTTGACTTGTTGAAAGTCGTTTCGAATTCTAAGTGGGGAGGGGATCAAGCTACCCTCCTCCATCTATATCGATCGCTGATCTGTTCAAAACTTGATTATGACTCCATCGTATATGGTTGAGCCTGCAAAAGCAACCTAAAACTTTTAGATTCTGTCCACCACCAAGGTCTAAGACTTTGTCTTGGGTCTTTCCGAACTTCTCCTGTTGTCAGTCTCTACGTTGAGGCAGATGAGCCATCTCTTGCACAACGCCGTATAAAACTATCTTTACAGTATATTACAAAACTATATTCCAGCGAATCAAACCCTGCATACAACTGTCTTTCATCCTCTTTATGTGGATTTATACAACCAGAAATCTTCTCTTGTTCCGCCTCTTGGGCACAGAATTAAACCTTTTATTTCTGCTGCCTGCATTGATCTTGAAACTATATCTCCTTCCCGTCTTCTTTTTTCTCCGCCTTGGCAATTGGTGAGGCCACAAGTTGACCTAACATTAACCACATTTAAAACTCAGAAACAAATGAATTACAGTATAAACAAGAATTTAGTCAATTAAGAAATAAATATAATACATATAAATCCTTATTTACAGATGGGTCCAAGGACGGTGGCGCGGTTGCTTGTGCCACTGTCATTGGATCCAGAACAATATCTTCTCGATTACCAAATAACAGTTCTGTCTTCACAGCAGAAGCTCACGCTATATTAACAGCTCTTAAATATATCAATAAACATCGTAAATATAAACTATATATAATCTTTTCCGATTCTCTTTCGTGCCTTCAGGCCATTAAAACCTTTCTTGCAAACATCCACTTTTAATAGAAATTATTGAATTGTATAATGAACTTGCTACTGGCCAATGCGACATCGTCTTTTGTTGGTTACCCAGCCATGTTGGCATTTCTGGGAACACAATGGCTGATCTTGCTGCTAAGGCAGCACTCAACAAGTCTGTGACACCACTTTTTATCCCATACTCTGATTACAAAGCTAGCATTAGAACCTACATCCGTGATCTGATGCAGAAGAAGTGGGACACCCAGGTAGGTATCAATAAATAACATGCAATAAAACCTTATATTGGTTACACCTACTTGGGTTGTCAGTCCAGATTTGAAGAGGTCATTATGCGACGATGTCGCATTGGCCATACTAGATATACTCACGAATATTTATTGAAAGGCGAAGATCCTCCGTTTTGTATCCCTTGTGATGACAGGATCACAGTCAAGCTGTCGCCTACTTCGAAGGATATACGTAAGTAAGAACTTGTGAGCTTGTTATAAAAACCAGCTGAATAGACTGTTGTATCGTTAAGAGAGTGTGTTAAAATAAGTATCAAGGTATCATCCAGTAATATATTAGTGACCAGTTTCTGTGAAATATAACGCGTTTTTTGCAGTTGTTATTTGTGTGGTAACTGACCTACAGTATTCTAGACTCGAGATTTAACCTATCGCTCAAGGAAGGTCATCATTAGAATCGTTGATATTAATTATTTACCATGAGATTATGTTACAGACATGTGTCATAATGAATTATTTCGTATTTCAGTATGGCATAACGCAAAACGCAAGTCAGGTTTCTGAAAAAGACGATGTCAAATTGCTGAGGGGAGTGTTGGCTGCCAACCCGTTCAAAGACAAGGGAAAATGGCAAACAGCAGCAGACAACTTGACAAGTAGACGTCAAACTTCAAAATCGATGCTTGGCGAGTTAGGGAAAGGATGCTCTTGATGTTCAAATTCAAAAAGAAAACTTCGGAAGATTTAAAAAGGTAATAAATCACTACTTAGCTATCCAATGTATATCAACCTTGTCAATTGTATATACTCACTATGTATATGCAGCTATGCATATATTCTCCTTGTTACAACTCTTTGTATGACTTGCTTGATAACGGTGTTAGTATCTACACCGAAACGTCGCACTCATTGACTATCCATAGAACTTGGGTTTCCTTCACCTATACAACTTCTAAAAATGCCTCTCAAAGAAGTTACGCCCTGAATGCTCTTATTTCCACACCCGTAAAGATTCGGATTAGAATTGGTCTTCGGCAACTTATACCTGTAGTAAGATTTGTTTGTTTCTTGTTTATAGACACACTCAGGAGTAGACAGACAGACACAGGCAGACGGACAGATAGACATACAGATTGTATGAGTTCTACTCGTTATCTTGATGATGGAGAATCAACCAATATTAATCAGTGGCATTAAACAACACACAAACTAATTCACGAAATTCTTAGTTGGTCCTTCAGCCAAAACAAGACCATGCAACATAATATAAAGCACCAGAGAATAGCAAATCCCACGCCCACAAAAGGGTGAAAGAGTTGTTAAAATTAAATAAAAGTCCACACTGGCTGTTTTCCTCCATCTTCAGGTAAGTCTCTTTGACAGATAGTGTAGATATCGCATTTTCAAAAGGTTGAAGCTGTCAGAACACCCAATCCATGAAGTCGACACTCCTAGTAACGTGGTAGAGAAAACGCCAAAGCTCATGCTTATGTCAGAACGGAGCGTAGAACCTGAAGGCCCTAACTGACCTCTTCACGCCCCCAGGCGGTGGGGTAGCCTAGTGGTTAAAGCGTTCGCTCGTCACGCCGAAGACCCGGGTTCGATTGCCCACATGGGTACAATGTGTGACGCCCATTTCTGGTGTCCCCCGTCGTGATATTGCTGTAACATTGCTAAAAGCGGCGTAAAACCCAACTGCCTCACTCACTCACTCTTCACGCCCCCATTTCAAATATACACTGTATATTGACTGTATACACCCATTCAACCCACAAGAAATCAACCAACCACTTATTACACCTATTGCAAACACTAACCCTTCGTGCAATGGTTCAATTCTGGCACAAGATCAAAGGCCTGCCTTTTGACTTTCTGGTCACTCAGAGCCCTCATTCAAAATATCCTCCAGCTTACTGTGAAAACTAAATCCACGCATATACTGACTGCTAGGTGTAAGCACCTGTTCAAATTTGAAACATCTGTCCTGACACGAAATGTACCTACCACGCGCGCTTTTATCGAGTGCTAGTGTCACCTGCAAGTGATTCATTCTTGACGCAAAGGTGGAGGCCTACCTATTGACTTTGTAGTCACTCTGAGCCCTACTGGTGCACACCGGAGATCCCACCCAATTGCATGAGAACAAGGGGACGCCCGTAGCTGAGCACATGCAATCTGTGTCTTGTTGTGGGTTCATAGTCCTAGGCCCTGTATCTCATTACAAGCACTGCAGTGAAAAAACATCAGCATCAGCTGTGCAAAGGCTGTCATCTTGCAGCTTTTGTTGTTGAACAGTAACAGAACTTTTGACGTCAAACATCAGCAAATGATTTAAAGATACGTGTTGTATTGAAATACACCTTGAACGTGGATCATTAATCATGGGGAAATGTCTGCTTTTAGTCATTTCAAGTGAAAGGATATATCATATATCAAACTTTCACTGCCAACTAAATCTTCTGCAAAACTGATCTAGATGAGGGAATATTTCCATTCTAATGTAACCGGGTAACCGCGTAATACATAAGTTGACAGCAATAAATTTCCCCTTTTAAAGCTTTTATTTTCCATGAAGAGGATCATATTTTATGGACTGTCAACTTCTTTATTGCAGTAACGTTTCGGTGTAGATGCTAATCACTTCCTTGATAACTGTCTACACCCAAACGTCGCATCTTTTTGCAATAAAGAACTTGTCTGTCCATAAAATGTGTTACTGTCTTCATACCAGCTTCTAAATGCCACTTGAAGAAGACACTCAACGTTTTGATGAAACATTTTGCAACAACAAAACTGGTCCCTAGTCGTCTGTTTTCTCAAGGAGAATTTACTACAGTTTTTGTTCGTATTGCATTTAGAATTGCCATATAATTATTCCGTGAGGGTCAGTTTATCCAGATGGTACGTTAAACTGAGGTTTGGATAACTTCCTTTGCTATGAGGAAGGATAACGATATATGGATGAACAACTTCTTCATTACAGTGAGAGCGACATTTCGGTGTAGGTTCTAACACTGTTATCAAGCAAGATCCTGCACCGAAACGTCGCTCTCACTGTAAAAACGTTGTTCATCTACCTCAATTCTGTGCACATTTTACCATTAGGGCAGTCACCAGTAAACATCACCTGGGCATTTACCTATTCTGTATTGCAAATTTACAATTTGTTTACAATTTTTAAACAATACACGGACAGAGGATCCTTTCCCTCCAAAGGGACAGGATTTATACACATCGTTTAATGCATACCCTGTGCAATCTTTTCTTTCCGCTTTCCATACTTTAGAAAAGATTTACAAATATGTATTAAGATTGGTTCCAGAAATAAACTGTGAAAGGAATGAAAATGCTGTATATGAAATTGTTACGTATATAACTCACTCACTCACTCACTATTTCTGTCATATCATACTTCATTGTGAAATATTTACGTCTGAAAAAAATGTTTTTTCTCTTATTTTGATTGATAAACTGGAAGATGATGTATATGTAAAACTAGAAACTTTGGAAGATGATGAGATGCTGTCGGTGTTTTCTTGGTATAGATCTACCTGTATTTTCTGCCAACGGTGACGAATTGTATGTTACCTATAGCTATATAACGTGTTCAATACTTTATGTACACATTGTATATGAAGTTGTTGCTGGTGTTTGTATGCTGGTGTTTGTCTCCAATATCGGATCTCCCTTCGTTTATTCATTGCCAGCCCGAATATCTACTCACTTCAAAGTGCATCTTCTAGTTAATATACAAGTGTCTTTTTTGTTTGACAATGCACTCAGAAATGTTCCTGCCATATAACGGCGGTTTGTAAATAATTGAATCCAAGTCAGCAAGACTTACCATCTAAGACTCCGTGCTGTTTAACGCAACACTATGTAATAGTCGAGCTATATATTAAGGTTTAAAGATAATGGATCCAATATTCCAGTCTTAGATATTGTGCCAATGGATTCAAGGATTGGATATGACATGAACCCATCCAAACAATTCAGCTTCTTCTCACAAGCAGAGGATGTCGTGAACCTATGTGTTTAACCACAATTCTCACTGCTGAGTAGAACTGCGGATAACCAAACGTTATTTCTATGTCACTTGTTTTATTTATCAACGTTACAACTTTCCTATCGATTGCACAAACCCAGTCAGGGACAGTCCGTCGTGAGTTGCGCCCCTTGGCGAGTTTCATCACTGTAGAGTTAGAAACGGTACTAAAGCACATGTTTCAACCGCCATAGAAGTTATGATGCATTTCACCGGTCAGTCAAGTGAGGGAACGAATGTAACAACTTGATCTTTGTAAGTGTAACAGCCATACCATTTCTGAGTCCTATGCAGGGATTCGAATCACGGGCATTCTGATACGAAGTCGGACGCCTGGTCCACATGACCAAAATGGTAAACCCGGTCAGCAACATAACACTGTCAATTGACATCTATGAAATGACTCAATGCTACATAAGCATATACCTGTGAATTACCATCAATCAGTGCGGATTCCGGGTGTTCAAGAAAACGTGTGACTATTCTTTTTTACAAAAACATGGAACAGCAAGTCAAATGTTCACCTGAACAAACATGGGAACACGCACGCACATTTTTAAAAAATTAACAACTTCCCAATAAACTACGAATGAATATTGTCAATCTTGCGGGCGCACACTTTGAAAAAAAGCAACTAAAATCTAATCACCACCTGTTTATTGAAATACCCGTGAGCACTGTTAACTGTACACACACTTTCAGGCTGACTAATCCAGGATCCATCAGATTTTCGTGTCCGCTGCTAGACGTTGGTTGGTTGGTTGTTTAACGCCGCACTCGGCAATATTCCAGCTATATGGCGGCGGTCTGTCATTAATCGAGTCTGGAACAGACAATCCAGTGATCAACAGCATGAGCATTGATCTACGCAGTTGGGATACGATGACATGCGTCGACCAAGCCAGCAAGCCTGACCACCCGATCCCGTTAGTCGCCTTTTACGACAAGCATGGGTTACTGTTCAAAGATCAATTCTAACCTGGATCATTTACGGGTCTTCACGAACTATGTATGGTTCATGTCAATCAAAGGACTTCACATATAAAGTTGCTTTTTACTACATTCACGGTCATTCCAGATGATGCCGCGGATCAAGGAAACCGTCAGTGCCACACAGTCCTCCCTGAGTATAGTGCCATCGTCGTCCTCCCAGGTTTGGGTTGGTTCACCTATGCCCCAGTTTTTGTACTTTAAGGGAGTGTTATCTGTCCATAGATACATGCGCTTTACCTTGAAATATCTGAGACCCATCCAAAGATTAACTGCAATAGAGAAAGAGTAAGAAACTTCATAAGTAACACATTGGATACCATATGATGTTTTATGACGCAGAAAGCAAAATGAAATAAGTGACGAGTGTATAAGTCCATACTGATAACAATATCGATAGAGGATTCCCTTTGAATAATAAACATGGGTCATAGCAGTATGGATGATCTTTACCAGACCTTAATGTCTCCCCCGTCATTTCCCAACCCTTCACCCACAAAATAACATCCAAAAGCATCATACTCCGTTCTTTTACCCTCATAACCGGGTTGAAAGTATACTGGGACACTTATTCTAACCAGCATTGAAAACGCATCAGTCTACAATTGTCCTTATCTTCAACAAGATGGATTTCAGCTTGATAATTGTCAATGAATAACTGTAACTGTATTGTTAACTGTAATGAGCTCTTCACGTATTGATTTGCCAAATCCTTTTGACATTTTCCATGCCAATAAAATATGTTTAAATACAACAACAACAAAAAATTTAAAAAATTGTTCTTAACTTCAACAAGATGGATTTTGTCAATGAATAGGACCAACATGACGTCGAAGCTCATGTCTAGTTGAAAAACTGTTTTAGAAACAAATTCCTGTTCACAGTGAATCTTAATTCCAAAACGCAACAACATGTATCCACGCCATGAAAAAGCAAATTTCGTTCTGAAATCATGTTGACTGTGACATTAAAAGCAGGTGCATGAGAACCGATTCTCATTGTTCACTAACGATTGTGAAACGAGGACAGAGATGCCTAGATTAACACCACAGGAACGAGAACGTGCACTAGGCATCATTCAGGTTGGCACCAGTAGCATGGATATTGCTCGACGACTTGGATGTAGCCACTCCACCATCGTGTGGCTTCATAGACGACATCAGCAGACAGGCGGCACCTGTGACCTTCCACGACCTGGGCAGCAACGTGTCACGACGCCCCGTCATGATCGCCATATTGTCCGTGACCATATCCGTGATCGAACGCTACCGGCTGCCAGGAGTGCTGCACTAGTTCAAGGTCGATGTGGGGTCATCAGCGCGACACCGCACGACGCCGTCTACACGCTGACAGACACCGTAATGGGCGTATACAATGGGCTAACAGTCATGTTCAATAGCTGTTACAACAATGGCATGGTGTGGTGAATCACGTCTTCACCTACATGTACGTAACGCTGACGGCCGATTACGTGTTTGACGTAGACGTGGTGAACGTTATGATGAGTATGTAGTTCAGCCAGACCGTTGGGGTGGTTGGAGCGTCATAGTCTGGGGTAGAATAAGTTACAATCACAGGACTGCCCTTCATGTCTGTCAACGGAGAGTTAATGCCCTTTACTATCGTGACCACATTGTTCAGGACAGCTTGACTTTCCATGCAGTATCTGACCTAGCAACACATCCCGGTAATTCATCTGCCTGCACTGTCGCCAGATGTATCCACTATTGAGCAGTTGTAGGACGAAATTGGTCAAAGTCTTTCACGCCGACAGCAGATACGACAAATCTGGGATCTTGAGGCTGCACTACTGCAGAAGTGGAATGCCATCATCCAGAACTCTATTCGGGCGCTTATTGACTCAATGAGTAGACGTTGCACAGCATGTGTCAATGCAAATGGCGGTCACACGCGATATAGACTTTTCGATTTGACCCCGCATGTGTTTGATTCTTTCTGACTGTGAAACAATTAAATAAATGAGCGTCTTTTCTGTATTGTTGTTGTTGTCAGTCATCCATCTGTTATCATCCACTAAAAAATACCAATGCTTACACGTACTTTAATCTCAACTTTTGTAAGTGGTGCGTTTTCAAAGCTGATGAGAATTTGGTAAAAGACGATACCATAAGGGACCATATTCATTTATGGCTCAAGGCTGATGGGGGATGGTTGTGTTTGGTTGGGGTGATTTTAAGAGGGGGCGGAGAGGTCACTCATCACAATGGGTACATCCAGGCTTCAGCCATTTTGTACAAAAATCATCATCATAAGGGGGCATCACAATGTACATGCTTCTCCATAAAAATCATCATCATCCCCCCACCCCATCCATAAATTATGAACGGTCCCTAAGCAAAACCTGATGCATGCATATGATAAGGTTATACAAACATAATCAGTAAAGGAAAATGATACCATGTTATCCATGATACTAAAATATAATCTGTGCAATGGGCATAGTCTTTCAGTAGTACATGACAGCGTTTTCATTGTGTTTCTTGTGCCTTTCTGCACAAAATGTGAAACCTCATCATCGTTTCTGAGATCAGTTTTAAATGGAGAAAATAGGTCATTAGAATTGCTGCTACTACAATCAACCTGCGATGAATCGGCTTGTTCTCCTATTGGAAGTACATATTCATCTTTATATGAAAACAGTGACTTACGGTTATATGGTTTAGAAATAACTGTAA